GTTTGTAATGAAGTAAAGGTTTGTATTGTCATGTTGTGACCTCTTCATGCAGAGCTCGTGAAGCTTTTTGTGCAGAGTATGCTGTTTATCCTTTCTTGTGCTCATAACCACCCACACTGGGGAAAATTCTGAGTGACTTAACAAGAGACTTGAATCTATTGGCACTTCTGGGAGTTAATTCGATACTTTCTTTCTACCTAGCTATCACTAGAGTTGAATTACATAAATATGAAATTCACAATTAGAAAATCTACTCAAGATTACTGCTACTTACCTGCATACTTCAAAGATATGTAGTTTCTGTTTACGTGCAGTAAAAAGACTAAAGCACTTGAGAAGCTCTCCCTTTCTAGCTACATTTCTACGATGCTAAGCTGCCCTCTTAAGGAGCTGTGCCTTACAGGTTACTTCAGGCTTCCTGTGTAAGTATTAACCCCTTGTGTTCTGCACAGACATAAAACTGCTCTACCTCAGTTCCAAACAAATCAGGTTGAGTACAAGTTCATTTACACAATGCCATATAGAAAATGTAGCAAATTGTGATGTAAATAGAATTATTGATACTTCAGGGTAAGCAGCCCAAGGTACCATAATTTGGGCATATTCCATATATAACTTTCAGGATGCCTAATGCTGTCTGCCATACTAATGCAAATAGTTACATGTTACTTGCTCTGCACAGGGTGCTTGCAGAGAGGGAGAACTCATGATTTGTTCACTGTCACTTCTGATCAGCATTTTCTATACTGAGAGTAAATAAAACTCAACGGAGGTGCTGAAGTAAAGTTTTTAATATTTGTAAGCTTTAAGATATGATTCCCACTTTCCTTGGTCAGAAACAGCTACCTGTTATGAATTCCTAAGCCCTAGTTCACCAGGCTCACCTCTTTTCTCCAAGAGCCCTCTGCTGACCTAAAATACAGTACATTGAACTGAATGTCAAATACCCTAAAATATAATTTGACCTGGAGTGTAAATACATGTCCTGGTGCCAAGGTAGATTTCAGTAAGAACAAAAACACATATGGTAGTACTGAACTGTTGAGAAATTCTGTTTTCAAAAGTCAACAGGTTTAGTGCAAAGCAAACATGTTTGTGACCAGATTTCTATTTCTTTGTCTAATGAAGTCAGTATGGCTCTTCAGAAAAGTAGAAGATCAAAGAATTAGTTGTTTTCTTATGCTCCTGCCTCTGACTTTTCTTGTGCGAGTCAGTTAACTCTTTTGTGAGGTAATGAATATAAGAAAAACAACTGTGTAGTCTGCTTATGCAAAACAATTTTCTACAGTAAATTGAGATCCAGGTATTAAAAATGCTTGTTAATTTATTCTGAGACTCATGATTACTGACATTCATCCAGTAGTACTAGATGCTGAAATTATATTATTGCCAAGGAAGCACAGATTTCATTTAAATAGACTCCATTTCTCATGCTTAATTAAAAAAAAATCTGATAAGGTGAAAGAAGTCGGAGGGCGGCAGCGGGAACCAGCAGAAAGCCATTCAGGAAGTTTTGCCTGCATTATCAAAAATATTTCTTTAATTTTGCAGGGTGGAGAGGTGGGGAAATGCTGATTATTTTAACATTTGAAACTGCTAATGTTGTGGTTCTGAGAGGGAATCTCAATAAAGACAGATTTATTCCATAATTACTGCATGGATAATGTGTGAAGGAAGAGGTGCCATGTTTATGTGAGTTTTCTCTAGAAGTGCACAGGTATCAGTAGGGTGAAGTATTGTTAATATTAATAGAAAAAAATCTATATACAAACCTGAAAAATCTAGAATGAAGGAAAGACGAGAAAGTACCTTGCAGAGGTGCATGGCTTGAAATACGAAGGAGTTGCCACTACACAATTCAGGTTTCAAATAGCCTGTCTAATTCATTCCAGCAGGTAAAATTAGAGTACAGCACTAGTGAGAGCAGTGTTCACAAAAAGATAAACATGGCAGTTTACCTGATTTTTCTAACTTATATTGTTTGTAACTTGGCATATGAAGAGATCTGAGATGTCTGTTTAGATTTTAGCACTCTTAACGTAGCTAAAAATGGCCTAAAGGCTCAACACTTAGACCCACTGAGGTTTACATAGCCTAGATACAGTACACAGTTTCAAATCTCACTAGACAAAAATAAACCAAAAATCAAAACTGGTGTGTGAACATCTGTGTTAAAGAAACTGTCTGCATAGTACATGCTGATGTTTATTCTAGCAGATTGATCTCTATCAAGCGTAATATTTTCATATCTTCATATACTCTAAAAATGTTTTCATTTTATTGATCTTTTAAGTTTCTCATTACATGACAGAATGGAAAATGGGTGTCCGTGCATGCCCTTTCTGTAAAACCAGGTAGTGTTTAAGATGTGTCCCTGCAGGAGATGCCCAAAATGCAAGACTGAATCTGTGGAACCTTTCACATTTTAGTGTCCTGAATTTTAAGTCTTCCCTTCCCCTTTCTATCCTGCTCTGTCAAGGAGGTTGGACTAGATGATCTCTCAAAGTCCCTTCCAACCCCTAAGATTCCGTGATAAGCCAACCTGGAATATTCAGTTATTTTGCAATATCCAGTATAACTCTACAATTATTCAAATGTTTTATATTTATCTCTGAAGTAATTGAAAGTTCATCAAATACATTATTGCAGAATACCTTTCCCAAAGCCAAGTGCAGTGGAAATGTTATTCTTTTTTTTTTTTTTTCTCAATTTAAATTATATAAGAAAAGCATTTCAGCATCAATTAGCATTTGAACTATAATTTCTTTCTTTAGAGTTTCTAATTGTTAAAATGTTACATCAATTATTGTGTTTAGTGTGTGCGTATTATTATGTATAAATGTTACTTGAGAAGTTGTCATTAGTATTATTACCAGTTCAATATGGGAACAGGATCAGTTACGTTGCTTTAGCATTTCACTTTATGAGAAAATTGTTGTCTCTACTCTTAGCTAATTTATTATTTCATTTAATAATTCAGTAGTCAGTCTGAACCATTTATAACAGGGAAAAGGGTGCAGAAGCGCGTCTTAATTTTCCATGTATATTCAGTGTTGCACTCAGGGGAAACAGCATATCCAAAAATAAGGCTGTAAATAAGAAAACAGTAGCTTTTTATGTCTGGCTCTATTATGTGTGTTTGATATATGCTTCTGCAGCATTATTACTTTCTCTGTTCAAATCAATGCTCTGAGCTTTCCATTGTATGATTGATTTCTTCCAGATTAGCGTATGAAGTACATGATTTAATAAACACCACTAGTACCTGTTCACTAACACACAGAGGTCTGCAGGATTATAAATGGTGATACTATAAAGTTTCCAAAATGCTTCAGTCAGTTCTAAGATTTTGATGGTATAACTTCATTTGAACAGAAAAGAGAAAACAACTTTGGTATTATGTAACCAAAAGGAAAATAAAAATGCTTGAAAGAAATAGAAATAAGGCAAGAATTTATAAAAATTAAGCCAGATTTTGTAGAAGATAATGGTGAAAAGGAAAGGTGTTTACTAGGCTATTCTCCTTTTTAATGCCACTTTCCTGCCTAAGAAAAGAAGCATTATTTCTATACTTCTGCGTTCCTAAACACTGCAGTAACAGAACAGTTCCTGAACAGTGTCAGTAGCACTGCATAGCTGTTCAAATTCCTCTCTGCTCCATCTGTACATCTCTGCTCCAGTGTAGGCTGCAGCCCCATATGCAGCATGTTCCGTCAGTCTCTGTACCCGAATCAGTGTGTAGCTAGGTCAAAAATAAAGTATTTCTTGAATGCTTTCTTAGAAATGTTGTTGAGTTTTGAGAAATCTTTCTCCAGGAAAAATCAATTTCTGCTATTACCCTCTATTCATTCAGCTTTCCTGGAAGATGGTTTTCCTTTTCAATTGCTGTTCTAACATTTTTAATATTATTTAGGACCGTTGTTTTTTCTTACTACTTTGTATTGTACAATGAAAATGCTGCTTTCAGCGTAGCAATGACTGTGTTGCTTTTAAAGGACACATATTATTTTATCACCCTCAACACCTTGGGAAGTATTGTACAATATGATGCTGTTCAGTCCACGTTTTTATCAACCCAATCACCATTACCTGCAGCCATCATTCCATTTTAGAGCACAGCCCTACAGCTACTTTTTCCCTTTTCACAGTATCAGGATATGTGGAAGATGTATGAAAGTTCTTTGCATGTTTTTGTCAGTGTGTTTGTCTAAGCCATGAGCTGGAGAGCCCATCTTCTATAAGTGACAAAAAGCACTCAGGCAAGTTAGTCCCTGGCCTCAACTCTGGATCTGCTGAAAATAAACATTCATGCTATTTGCATGACAGGTGCTAATGTTCAGTCTGGAGTGGACTGAGTACCCTTTCATTTGGGAATATCTTCCCCTAAGTTAGGGATAGAACGTGGTGCTCTGCCCAGTTTGGACTTGTATGTCTGTGTGCATCTCATAGCTCTGCAAAAGTCATAGACTTTCAGGTCAGCTTGCATTTAGGTATGGCTTAATCTGAAGCCCTTTACATCTATGATTTTAGTTTTGTTTTGTTTTGCTTGTTTTAACTCTCCAAATCCAGTAGCTAAAAGCAGATAACTAAGTAAACCAATAAACCTAATTGCTGTTTTTAGAATGTTGAGACATTTTATTAGAAAATAAAGCCCTTCAGAAACTCCTGCAATATCCTAGGTTCTCAGAAGAGCACTGCACAGGTATCTTGTGTGTGGTCATAAATTGTAATGTCTTAACTTAGCCCTTCAGAAACTCCTGCAATATCCTAGGTCCTCAGAAGAGCACTGCACAGGTATCTTGTGGTCATAAATTGTAATGTCTTAACTGTTTTTAATATTGCATTGGAAAGACAATAGGTCATACTCTGTTTCACAAAGATTTGTTTCTGGGGTTTTATTCATTTTCCCTGAAAATCCAGTGTAATGAAAGTATACACTATTCCAAAAGAAGTGCTAGAAATCATTTGACCTTTTTTGTGGTTTTTTTTGTATTTTTCAGCTAACAGGACAAGTGACTTTGCAAATTGCCAATGAACCGGTTTTGCCGTTTAATGCCCTCGACGTCGCATTAGAAGTTCAGAACAGTCTTAAAGGTAATTCTTGCTAAAGGAATATTATTCTCCATGAATACAGAGGGGGGGGGAAAGGATAATTACTCTCTGATACAGATTTTCCATTTCCAGTTGAATGATAGCCAATGATTTTACTAGTTGAACGGTGTAATTATATGTTGCGAAATTAAAGACAAGTTTTGTTGCTAAATAAAGCCATAAAATGTTTATACTTCTTCTGATGTTACTATGTCAGTTAAGCGATAGTTATTATTAAAATCTCATAAATCCAGCCAAAGATGACCACCTCTATGACTGAACTTGATTTTAATCCTCTTCAAGGCTTTGTTCAGTACAACTTAAGAGAGGGCTTCTAGTCCCATTGCTCTTTGGCTCCTTTCACCATCAGCTTGTTTGGTTTTTCCACTAACTCACCATGTTGGCAGAGCATAATGACTGCTCCTTTTTCAGTTCTGACAAAGCAACATAATTTATCGACACATCATGTTTGAGTTGATTAAGCACTGAGATGCTGGAAACTCAGTATTTGAAAATGATTTGGTGTGTTTGGAGCAATGGGTTTGGGGTTGGAGAGGTGGACAAAAAAATTCCTAGCAGAAAGTAAACAGAAGTGACTTCGAAATTATGCAAGTTTAGTCCTTTAGACTCTGGTTCTGGTTTGCTAGATGTAGGATGAATGCTTTGATTTGCTTAGAGAACAAGTCTTATAAGGAGCAGCTGAGGAAACTGAGGTTGTTTAGTTTAAAAGAAAAGAAGACTGAGGGGAGGAGACCTGTGTTGAAGACAGAACCCAGTGAAGCCAACAGTCGTTCGCCTGAGCTGTTAAGATCACACAGTTAAAGGCTGCAGTTGTGCATTCCCTTTGCTTCTGGGGGCTGTTTTTTTTAGTTTTTTCTCTAGTTGATAGAAAAACTATTGATGTTAACAAGGTACTAAACTCATTGTGTTGCTGAGATGTTCTCTGCTACTATCTAGCCTACAAAAGAATAGTAACTCATCAGTTATGAAAAGAATATCTGTCTTAGCTCCATTCCTGAGGACTAGGGAGGAAGAGGATGTACAGATTCTGACAGTGTCCAGTGACACTCATCTATATAAGCTTTCTCCTTCAGTCTCATCTATTTTCCTTCTCCAATTCTGTCCTTTTCCCTTACAGTTTCCTCATATCTTAGTGTATTCAAATGAGATACATCTTTCATTCTAAGTGATAAAAGTAGACTGGATGTGGAAGACCCATAGATCCTTAGTCCTTGAAGGTTAAATCTTTTTATAATTCCTTGAGTGTGTACAAACTGAGATATTTCAGAAGCTGGTATTCTGGTCCAAATTCAGTGAACTGAAACAGAATGGTAAAAGGTGCATCTCTTATGAACCCCCATGAAATCTGAAAGACTGCTCTAAAGCATACTCTTGTTAGGATCTCACAGTTGAAAGCTGTGAGATCAGCAAAACCATGTTTTTATTTCCTCATTTCCAATTGTGTCTCTGATACAGATTATCTGTAGTGTTCTAAGGCAGTTTGAAGGTATTTGTTTATACATTTATGTAACTCAAGTTGATCTGTTAGATACAAGTATAAGTTCTATTAAAATCACACCAAAACTTTACATATAGTCTAGTAGAATGTGAGATCTTATCTGAAATGTTCAGATTATTTTTGCAATCTTGAGATGTTGCCCCTGCATTTCATTGAGTCCCTACAGTATAAAGTAACACTTTACTGTAATACACATTTGTAGAAGTATGATACCTTTTCTTTACTCTCTTAACATCCATCATTGTCAAGACCTAGGAGTCAGTAGGCTAGCATTGGTCTGGAATCACTGAACATCTGAAAAGACAAGTAATTTTTCCTGGATGTCCTCACAAAAGGATGTATGTGTCTTAATATTTGTTAATATCAAAGGATTTAATTTGTATTTCTGTGGGTATCAGTACTGTCAGCTCTGGTAAGTTCAGTAGGATGTTACTGAGTACTTTATAAACCATTGCTTACATTCAGGTTAGGTTGGATGGCAGGTTATAGGAAATGTTATCCACAACATATTAACATCTGGTTCAAGGCTTGTTCCTCAGAAAGATGGGGAAATGACTGCTGATCAATATGTGTTCTGTCCAGCTGCATATACCAGAACTCTTGGAAACAAGCTACTGCTCTTGGGTTTGCCTGCAAGGAAGAGTTGTGACTGAAGGGACATATCTTTTTGTGCATCTGCTGATATTCTGATGTTTAAAAGGAAACCTTGTGGTCACAAATTATATGATATGGGCTCCAAGACTGAAATCCACATCTCCGAGACTGTTCAGATTGTTATCTATCTGGTCAAAGATGTGATATTTTAGAGAAATTCAGAACTAGGTGACAGTTTGAAGTATTCTGATTAACCACACCTTTCAATTGTGCCGTGTTTGTGCCTTTCATACATTTAAAATCAAGACCCACTGAATCAAATCTTTACTCAAATACAAGAACAACTCAATAGGCCTTGCATGCTACGAAAACTCAATTTAACTTTTGAGGTAGGGTGCAGACAAGATGTCAAATCTGATTTGTGAATGATACAAATGATTCTTTTAAGCACTTCTGTAGAAGCATTTTGTATGTATATGCAAGTACAAATGTATAAGCATTTATACATAAGTATTTTGAATGTATATAAGCATTTTTATTCAAAACATATTCATATAATCCACTGAATGCTTTTAGACTGTGCAGTCTGGAGTTGCTCCTTGTAGCCTATTGTGCACTGCATTTGAGCCTCTTTTATACTAAGTATATCTTACAGGAAGCTTCAGAGACTGATGATGGAGGTGTTAAAGGGTCTTATTAGGATCAAAAGCCTTTCTGTACCTGACTGACTCAGCAAAACCAAAATCAATCACACAGTTTACAAAACCAAAGGCAACTAGGTTTGGTGTGAGGCATGTTTCTCACTTGGGTGTGGTTGCTGCAGACACTGATATTCTGGAGCCCCCAACGTAAGAAGGACATGGAGCTCATGGAGAAGTTCTTTAGTGTGAGGATGGTGAGACACTGGAACAGGTTGCCCAGGGAAGTAGTGGAAGCACCATCCCTGGAAGTGTTCAAGACCGAGTTGGATGAGGCTTTGAGCAGCCTGATCTAGTGGGAAGTGTCTCTGCCTATGCAGGTTGGATCTAGATGGTCTTTAAGGTCCCTTCCAACCCAAACCACTGTATGATTCTATGATTTTTTCATTACTGCAAGTCGCCGAGCTCGCCTAGACTCATGCAGACCTTGCAAAAACTGGTATCTGTTGCCCCAGCCTTGGGTTGTGGCTGAGTAGCACTAGGCACACATCCTAAGATTCCCTAGCTGTGGCTTTCATCAGCAGCTGCTGAAGCTGTTAAGCAAATCGGATAAGCTGTAAACTATCTCTAACAAGTACTGGCAGAGAAAGGCCTATGAAGACAAATTCAGTTAACTGGGGGTGAGATTTTATGATTTTTCCCAGTATAGAGAGGGCAAGAACTGTGATTTAAAGCTCTTTGGCTGACACAGCATCAGTTGTGTGTTGCTTCCTATCAGTTAGACCCTTTCTTCTCCCCAGAATGGATGTTGTACAGCTGTTACAGCAGCTGAAGTACTTGGGGTGATACAAGTGGGCAGTGCTATCAGAAGTTTTAAAATAATCTGGTTTATGATAAGTCATTTCCAGGAAAGTCTGCATGATTTTCCACAGTCCTGGTCAACCTGTACCTTTCAAAATATCAGTCTAAGCTCTGCATCCTTAAAAAAAAAAAAAAAATCAATGCAGAAATATCTCTCTGTCATTTACTTGATGGCTGCATACTCATTGTTTAGGGCTTCCTGCCAGCTTCTAGCTTGGCATCATTTTACCTACTTGACCATATTTTCCTGATCACTTAGGGTACTTTTCAGAGTTATTTTCTCCTTCTGTCTGTAATGTTCAGAAAGTTTCCTTCCTTACTGTTCCCACCCATTATTCTTGACTGCTACAGAGGTAAAAGATGTAACAGTCAGTTGTCTGTAGATATGACACTGACATCTTGTCTTCAGTATCTTTTCAGGGATATTATATATTAATACTGAAAAACCTTTCCTCAGCCTTTAAAAAAACAAAACAAAACAAAAAACCCAAACAAACCAAAACCAACAACAAACAAACAAAAAAAAACATTAAAAAATACATCTCCCATGGATATAGCATTTGGTAATGAAGGGAAAGGATGAGTGTCTATTCAGTATCAGTAGGCTGTACATGTTTCAGCAGCTCTGTATGAAGTCATTGATAGCTTCCTCTGTATTGACATGCATAATCATATGTCACAACATCCCTTTATAATGACAGCCTCCTGAAAAAGAACCTTCTTGCAGCAACACCAGATTAGTTTGCCTGGGCAACAGCAGCCATGGTAGCAAAATTGAAGCTTATGGCAACATATTGTATGCACTGAGGATGCCCGTGGATTTGTGTTTCTGCCTCCTTTTAGGGTACTTTTTACAAGCTTTCCCATCCAGATTTTCCACTGTGAGGTCTGATCATCCAATGTTGCACAGCATGGAAAATCTTCCTAGTGAATATAACAATACACCATAGCTGATCCTGAATTTGTACACTAATCAACACCTGAAGCAATTTCTTCTTTCTCTTCCATGGAAACACATGTTCAGTTGCATGGAGAGCCAGCATCATGCCTTCAGCTCCGGATTTGACTGTGTTCATTCTCCTGTAGGTATTCAAGTACATTCATAACAGAGGGCACAAACACGGTTTTAAAATGTTAAATCTCTAGCAGTATTTTTCAAAAGAGCAATCAGTAACACAGGGAAAGGCTATTGTATTCAATGTCTGTAAAATAAATATTTATTTAGTGTAGCCTGTTTCTGAGTAAAATCCACTTACATTTAACAAATGTAATGAAATTCAACAGCATAATTCTCTGATCAAGAGTATACCTACTCTTGAGTCACTTTCTTGCACTTGCAATTTTATTTAAGAGCTTAACAGCTAGCTTAGATGATTAATCATGATTCATACCAAAGAGAAAAGGACAAATAATGCAAAATATAATAATGTAGCATTGTTTTCTCTTGAGTGAAATAACACTTGCAAGTGTTTTTTTTTCTTTTCTAGGTAGAAGCATCATGAGGTTTTTAGGATGTTATTAGTTAACACATCCTTCTCTTCAAGAATTATTTGCCCTTCTGCTCCCACCTTTGCAACAAACTAAAAAAGTAAATCATAGTTTCCTTAACAGTAAAGTTCAGTGTGGAGTGGTAAAAAGTACTGGTGCCCTTAAAGCTGTGTCCTTAGCTCCCTGTGGTAACACTAACCAGAGGTGCTTCCAGATTTTTTTACTGAAGTATTGAAACAGGGCCCTGGTGGTTGTTTTATAACAAGTGCTGGCTTAGAGCATGATGTAAACAGTGCTTTTCACTCATGACTGTGAAGGAAGGTGTAGCTGGCACGTGTGCTGTGGAGAAGGAGTGAGAGCATTTACGGGATTTTTATGTTTTAAAGTGTGGCCTTGTTGGCTTCCTTTCCAAATGTAGAATAATGTATTCTCCCTTTGTCTCACTTTCCCTATTGAAAAGATTTAGTGGACACTTACAGTTGTCTATATAATATTCAGAAATAAAATTATAAATATTGTATATTACTTGGAATATGAAGTGCTTTGCTGAAACCAAAGGATTCTTTCTAGCAGGGTGAGTTTAAACTTATCCATACTGACACAAGTCCCAGGGTGAGGAATGCACGGTGCCTGGATTATATGCCTGGCAGTCACAAATTCTTCAGCTGCACAGGATGTTTGCCTGAGATTTGGAAATTGAGGATACTGATATTTTGCAAAATGTACTAAGTATATATGCTTGGAGAATATTTTTCTGAGAAATCAACCTATCATAATCAGACTTTAAACTATGCCAGACTCAAGTCATAAAGTTAGCCATCCTGTACATCAAGGTACTGCAGTGCCTGTTACCCATCCTAATTAGGGAAAGGTGGATCGGTCAAGAACCACTGACAAAGCAACCTTGTCCCAAACCAAAACAGAGATAAACTGTCTTCTCTCACTTCTCTTCCCACAGAGAGTTTTGGATCATCGTTGAAATTTATCTTGCTAGCTTAGGAAGTCTGACTTTATCTCACACCAGCATCTATCTCTCCATGTATTTTGGATCATTTCATGTTTTGCTAGATTGGAATGCATTAGTCATCTGATGGGCTGGAGTGCATGGGAACCCATTAACTCCTTTCCCTTTGCTGAAATGTATCCAATAGCAAATCTGTTTTTCCATATGAGAGGGAGAGTATGTCATATTCAGGAGTTTCCTTCAATTTCTCAGTTGTACCTGTTAGCTTTTCCATTCCTGTTGTTTGCTCACCTTTCAGACTCCATCCATAAATAGTTTGAGAAATCTGTTGATGTTCTTATTTTACTGTTCTTGATCTCTTTATGTTAGACAAGGAACTTTAGTGTTCATTTAACTTGTGTTGGATCAATTATCACAATTAAGTTTGTACATTCAGCTTCTCAAGCTGAATGGTTTGTTTTGTTTAACTTGTCATTTGAAAGATGTATGGATAGTTGGTTTTCTTGTCCTTGGTAGGCAAAGTGAATCTTGGCCTTGAAGGTCATTTCTGCATCCTGGAATTTTATTTTTTTTGCTGACTGATGTTACTTACGACTTTATATCAGGTTCAGACTCTGCTTTCTTTTTCCATGTGCTTGTAAAAATCAGCCCAGTCCATACAAACACTGGGGAAAGAGGCCATGCTCTTCATCTGCACTGCAGGTGGGAAGACTGCCCTGTCACTGTGCTCCAATTCATGTAGCACCTTCTCTCTGGACTACTAACAGGCAAATAATAGAAGTGTGGTGTGCTCCAAGGTGATGTGGGCTTTTATTGTTTTGCTGTCTGTGTAGGATTACAAAAAACTTAAGAGTTAAAACTCCAAGTTTAAAAAGTTTTAAAAATATTGACTGGATTAGAATATTCATTTGGATATTAATTAAAGTGTTAGTTGTCTTATTGGCATATGATTTAAGTGATTAAGAGGAACAATTTCACATTCCTTCTGTTAACCTCTAAGATTCTAAAATGTTGAACAAAATTCAATTAAACTTTGAATATTACGATTTTCTATACAGCAGTTACTGTGAAATCCAAGCACAAGCTTTCAAACTTGGGAGTGGTACCATCAAATGGCATTGAATAAATTCTGTCTGAGAAGGAAACCATATCATTACTGATTTATAGCCATTGCTTTTTGCATGCCTGTTTTTGCAATGGTCCATTTCAAGCTGTACCCCAAAATCATTCCTCATAGCTTATTAGATCTTAAGACATCACAGCCCAAATTGATCTTCTTTGGAAAATAGATCAGAGCTAATGCACAATGATTTTGATCCATTACATAATTTTTGCAAGGGAAAAGAGGCTCAGAATTTAATTGGACTATTAATTTTGATTTGTAATAAGGAGTAGTAAGTGATGGTCTCTGAATCATTGGCAGCTGTCTTGCTCTTACTTATTAGGTGATGAAGTAGATGTTCCTCAGCTGCTTGCAGTGGCCTCACACCTGAGGGACACTGTGGAATTGTTCCAATCCGATGAGATGCGCCCAGCTAATGACCCGAAGGAGCGAGCTCCTGTCAGAGTCAGGATGCTCAATGATGTCCTACAAAGCTTGGAGAAAAGCTTCCTGGTTCATCGAGCTCCACCAGGACTTTACAGGTATGGCCTTCAAGTCATTTTTCACTTGAGCCTAAATGGTGATTTTGCATTGCTTGGTTTTCAATACTGTCATGCCCTTTAAAAAAAAACCTTGGTGACTATCCAAGATTAAAGCTATTTTTTCCTATGTCATCCTTTCTGCAGAAAACATGAATTCATTATAGTACAAGAGATCATTAGAATGCAGCACTGTAGTGTTTCTGTCATGACATCACTGCTAACAAGATGTACAGTGTGATGGCAACTAAGGCAGCGTGACAGATGCTTGTGTTAGACGGTTCAGTAAGCTTTCAGAAAAAAATATTTTGAAGTCTAATACTGCTTGATAAACTCCACCTATATTTTATTTAAAACTTTTTACAGTTCATTGAGGATTCAGAACTGTACAAGATACTGTGTCACATTATTTGACATCATTATATAATGGTGTTCTTGGTGCCTTTCAATCAGTCAAAGGCAGTACAGTGGAGTTAATGAGGGAACCTTAGTCAGTCAAAACATCTTGGCTCTGCTTAGAATTATTCTCTAACATGTATTCAGCTGTACTGCCCAGGTTGATTTGAAGATGTCATAATCATTCCATCTTTCTCTTTTTAAGAAAGAGGTCTACAAGTCTGTATCACTCACTCTAGATTTTTTTTTTTTTTTTTTAAAAAAAAAAAAGGTTACAGGAACGAGTAGCTTAAAACAAGTTTGAAAAGCAAGAAGTGGCCAGGCCTGCCCTGAGTAATGCCTGGCTCTCTGTCTGTCCAAGAGAAGTAATAAAGTGTTTGCATGTGCTTCTGTGCAAACTGTCTGAAGTGCTGTATTGCCTGTCAATGTAGTGTTTCACAGCTTAACCCCAACAATAGGTTTTGAATGCTAATGGGCTTTAGAGTGAGGACATATGTGGGCTGCTTGACTTCACCAGGCCTGCTGGGGTTATTTTGAAGGACTCTGTGGCTAAAGATAGCCAATAGCTCATCCATACTTTCCCAATAGCTCCATGCTGCCCTTTATGAGGCTTCCCCAAGTAAAACTGTCCCTAAAGCCATTCCAGGTTATACTTTAGGGGAAACTGGTTGGCATACTTAGAAAAGAGAGTTCAGAAGTGAACATACATACACAGGAGACAGACAGGGGCCAGAACACAGAAATTAATTAAGCATCTATGTTGCTTAGCAATATAAATGTACTTATAACCAGAAGTAACTAAAGCAATAAAACAGTACTTCATTGCAGTCAGTGGGAAAAATTGTCAAATGTCTTGTGCAAGTAATTGTTTTGAGTGGGCACAAAATAGATGATGAAGCAGGCTTTGGAAGAAAAGCAGAAAGCTACAGGATCAGGAGGAGGGTCTTTCAAGCATTAGGAATAGCATAAAACAAGTGCAGTCCTTGTAACAGAAATAAAAGTTAAAAGAAGTAGTTGTGGTGAACTCAAGCATGTCACTTAATAAAATCCTATAGCTATAATAAAGAAAATATAATAGTAATATTTGGGGAGGAACTAATTTACTTCCTTCCCACTGTGACTGGATTTGTAATATGAAGAAATTAACCAAAATGTGATTAAATAAAGGCTAACATTTCAGGTTTAGCACTGCCATCTGTCTTGTCTGAACTGGTATGGTGTTGCAAAGAAGCCATAAAACTGCTTAATATCATGTAATGTGTTTATGTTGCACTGCAACAGCACAGTGTTGAATCTGGCCCAATTCTTTATTTGTAAAAATAAATTCTACCACACTTAGGATTCCAATAAGAGGGGTTTTTAAGGTCTTCTAATATTTAAATTTCTGCAGTTCTTGCATTATTAAGTTAATTATTCATCAAGATGTAATTGCTACATGTGCAGGTATAATGTGAATTAAATTTTTAACCTTCTGTCTCTCAGCAGTACTTTGGTGCAGAGCACAGTGTTCACACTGGCAAAATAGATAGTGTGGAGTGAAAATTTACAAAATTTTCCCCCTCCTGACATTTAATACAAGATTTAACAGTGAATTATAATGTTACTTTAGAGTTTGTGGTTCTTAGCAGGATGCTCTGCCTCAGAGGGGACAGAGAAGACTCAACATTTGCCCTACTCGGTGTGTTCTTTAGTGAAAAAACTACCAGATATGCTAGAAGGTCACATTGTGCTTTGGTGGTGGAAAACACTCTGGACCAGCTGAATCCAAAGAGAGAGACACATAGAAGACTGATAAAGAAAGAGACAGTGTTATTTTGAGATCAGAACATTGCTAAGCTAGAAGGATCGCTGAGCAAGGTTTGCCTTAGCAACAGATGACTGCCAGTCAGGCGCTCTGGTCCCGTTCTTGGTCGGGCAGGATTCTTACACACTTCTCCCAAGAGGTATTTTTTATTGTTCCCCCCTTGAGCAGGGACACCCCTCAAATCGTTACTCCTCAGAGACAAAGGGAGCTACTAGGGTCATTAGGTAGGGTAAGTAACTTCAATCCCTGCTCAATCATTAAGCTAGCTTTAAAATATTGCTTTAGTTATTGTTCTAGATCTATTAAATGCCAATTAGTAAGTAGTTGCTATAGCACTTAAATTGTGTAGTAGGTACTCTGATTTATGTCCTTTAGCCCAATCACATTAATACCATTTATAATACAGTTTTGCCTTGTTCATACAGTCCAGCTTGCCACCCTTAAACCTGTACAGAATAGTGGGAAAACTTTGGATTTTACTTTACTCTGACCTATTTTACCTGACATCATCTGAAGTATATAACATATGCCCTGTGTATCATCATTTAGATACTCATTTTAAAGTTATGTATTCTTTGTACTGTGCCAAGGTGTGTAACTGTGGTCTGGATTTACCTTTGCTGCAAACCAAATCAAGGACAGTGATAAGTTTCTGATTTTCTATCATTACAAATGTGCAGTGCAGTTTCTTTTAAAATAAAGCATCTAATAATATGTCTTTATTTGGGCATTTTTTCACTTTTTAGGGATTGAAAGTCTTTCTACTAATTGCTGCAGTTAGGAATCTGTTTTGTGCTCTGTGTATCACAGAAGCACTAGAAGTACTTGAAAAAAACTGATACACTTTAATATTTTTTTTTCTTGTATAAATTTAAGCTTTTCTTTTTGTAATTTTGTAAAGAAACAAAACAACAACAAAAAAAAAATCAGTCCCACAGGCAAGTCTTTGTATGCCAGGTTTCATTCCAGTCTGAAGATTGATCAGCAAGTTATAAACCCTTGAAATAGTGGTTTATAATGGAAATGCTGGCAGCCCTTTAACTATAGTGGCACAGGCAGTGCAGCAATAAATACTGTGCTTCATCTGTAAACAGAAATTTAGGATGCAGTTTGCAGCCTTGACCTTCAGGCTCCAACTGTGTTTAGATCATTAAGATTCCATAAATACTGTAATTTACAGTCTTCTGAAGGAAGGATTTGTGTGCACAGTAAAGCACGTATTCTTCATGAAAAAATGATTGCTTCCTGTATGCCCATTTGGACTCATAGTCCCAACCTCAATCAAAGTACTTGACAAATTTGCTGAAGTTCAGGCGTAATTTTTAGGCTTGTGTTTGTCTTAATTCACAGCTCTCTGGATCTGCACTACGTTTTCTCTTCTAGAACTTAAAAAGAAAGGTGGATTTTTTGCTTTATTGCAGGAAGAGGGTTACAACCTACTTGTGCATGTTCTCTACAGGGGAACTACTGCATCTTTTCTGTCTTTTTTTCATTTGTTTTATACCCTCATTACCACAGCTGTAATCTCTTGCTGTATATATGTTCTTAAAAACATATATGGCCTTCCCACAAGCTATAATAGATTTGAACTCTGAATTTGCCATAATGAAATGAAAGAAAAATCAAAAGATACGTTTAGCACCATTTATTTCTGTTTTGTGGATAAACTGCAGCAGGTTCTCAGATGTCAAAAGGCAAAAACATCAAAGTATTCCAAGGATGATTTTATGTTCCTCCCAGGAAAGTGGGAAGCACTTTTATGAGACAGGTGAACAGTGGCAGCTATTTGCTGTCAGAAGATCTGAGATGACATGCAGTGCTTGGTAAATCTTTAGTTAATGCATACTGATCAGGTCACACCTGATTAGAAAATAATTTATAAGAATATAATTACAATTCTTAACTGTCAGGTTATTTTTTTCTAATCGTAAAACCAGAGACAAACCAGTTAGTTAATGGCATGACAAGCAATTACGTTAGTTTAGCTAGGTTGGGACAAACTAAGAAATATTTCCACTTAAATCATTTGAATTACTAGATTCTGATAGCACTAGTATAGCTATCTCTAGCTTTAAAACAATGCAATTACATGTCTGGCACACTAATTGCATTTTACATTCATAATGTGAGTCAGATTCATACATCCAAGTCACTTGCAGAATCTAGAGTAACAACCTTAATATAAAGTGGACTGAAAGTATCTCATTCATTGTATTCCATTTAAACTTGTGTACCCAACTGTCACATGGGGCTATAGCGTAGGTGGGAGGACAAAAGGAACTTCTCTCTTGAGCAGCTACAAGAAGCCAGATATAATTAAAATCACTTCCTATACACTCAGATGGTGCAGATACTCAGAATGGGATTTCAGGGACTAGGAAGAAGATAGTCATGAATCTGCTCATTCAGTGGATCACCATGATGTAGTATTGAAATTAAGCTGTAACTCTGAATAACACAAGAAGCTTTCCCCAGGATACCTTTTGCCATCAGTGCAGCTCCTCAGAACAGACATAGTTAGAGAGGTGTAGGAACTGTTATATTTGTGATGGACCTGTAGGAACAATATTGCAAAAGAATGAGCATTCTCTGTGCACAGGGCAACTTTGGGAAGAGTTCTGACCTTGTCCTCCCAGCCCCTCTAGGGGTGATTGAACAGTGCTGTGATGCTTTGTTCTCTAGGCCTGATAGTTACAATTTAATCTGCTGGGATATTGACTCTAACATTCAAACATGCGTGGAGCAGCGTGTTTATCCTAGCACACATCAGTAGCAATTACTAGTTTGATAATACTCTTAAAAA